TATGTCCTGACAGAACCTGTCGTAGATCAGGATCTTGTAGACCTCCTCGTTGGCCGTGCCGGCGTCGCCGCCCACCGCCTGGTTCAGGTTGAGCATCCGGACGATGCAGTCTGCAGATTCAGTTCAGAAATTACATCCACCATTACAAAAATCAAATTTTGAAAAAATTTAAACCGCTGGGATCAGATTTACCGGTCTGCTTCTGGCGGAGATTTAGCGCCATCTAGGTGAGTTTTCGGAGCTTTGAGAGAGGGGAGAAGATGAGAGATCTGAATGAGAGTTGTACGCCTTGCTAAAGAAGTTGTATCACTACTGTACTGCTCAGTTGTTATTTTACAAGTCGTATGTATCTTAACAGGGCTGGGTTTAGCAAGCCCAAATTAATATACCATTTTATTTTCTTATATAGTTATATTCTATTTTTTTGTTTTGTTTTGTTTTTTTTTTAAGTAATAGTGTATCTTATTATGAAGATTAAAATCATCGGTACACATTGAAAATTGAAAATTCACCACCTTTTTTCAAAGATTGCTTTAAATTGATTCTTAGAATAATTTTCACATCACCTAATTTTATTTTCTACAATTTATATATATGCAACTATCTATATTTAATTTTCAATCCAACAAAATAATATATTTATCTTTGCCATACCAATTTTCATCTAACATTGTTTCATATTTTTTAAATTTATTTTTATTTTAAAAGAAAAATCATATCTATATCTATACTTATATTAAAAGCCATACTATTTACCAAAAATAGTAGCAAAAAAAGTCAACTCACATTTAATGCATACTTTATTTAGAAATTTTTTACTATATGCATTAATTGCTTGCATATATATATTTCCTATTCAAATATGATCAAAAAGATTCTTTCGTTAAATAATTTTATGAACTTCTGCAATGATTTTACTGATATATATTATAATTCATATTTGCCGATAGTATTTTTTTATTTTTATTTGATTATATAAAAAACAATTTTTTTTTAAATTAATATTTTATTTATCATTTAAGAGATAATGATCACATCATCATTAAATGATATTACTGATGGCTAGATAATAAATTAAAATACATTAATTATTCTTTAAAATTTTGGCATGTTATTTATTTGTATCTATACTTATTATATAAGGTATCCTATTTACCAAATTTAGTAGATTGAAAAGTCAATGTAATTAATGCATTGTTATTTCTATCCATAATTTTATTTAATTATTTTATTTATTTGTCTTATATCCCATAAAATCAGTTTAAGAAAAAAAATTCCATAACATATGAAAAGTAAAAAAAAAGACGTAAAATCTTACTAAAATAAAAAGACTTTATTTATTTGTCTTATTCCATATTAACATTGATTTTGTCAAAATATCCCATAAAATCAGTGAAGTCAAAATTTGTATCTATCTAAAAAAAGGCAGATTCAAAATTCCTTATCTAATTCCTTCTTTTTCTTATCTAATTCATTCTTTTCCTTATCTAATACCTTTTTATTATCTAATTGTATGAAAATCTGTTCTGATTTTGTTCAATCCTCTAATTGTATTTGTATTATATTCCACAAAATCGGTTTAACAAAAAAAACACCATAACATCCGATAAGTAAAAAAATAAAGTACGTAAAATCTTTACTAAAATTAAAAGGCTTTATTTATAATCTAATATATTAATTTAATTGTATGGAAATCTGTTCTGATTTTATGGTACGTACTACAAATTGTGCACCTGTGTTTAGGAGGTACTTAACGGGCAAGCTCTGTGGAAATGACTCATTTAGTGCTTATGTCCCGTGCATACGGTATGTATTTTTATTACACGTACTAGAAAATTGTGCACCCCGTGTATCTCACGGGCTCTGTACTAATAAATGACCTTAAAATTGTGCACCCCGTGCATCACCCGTGTTCACATTTTGGCCTATTACAGGTCACGTACTATATATATCCCATACATTTTTTTATTCATTTATATAATTATAAGAATGAATAAATGACCTTAAAATTGTACACCCGTGCATTGCACGGGCTCTGCACTAGTATATATAAAAAGAATTACCATTTACTAAAAATAATAGCAAAAATTTAGGAAACATTTAATGCATACTATTTTTGGAAATTTTTTAAATGTATGCATTAATTGCTTCTATTTACATGTTTTCAAATAAGATCAAATAACATATGATCAAATAATTACTTCAATAAATTTATTAATATCTGCAATATTTTCATTGATATTTATTATAATAAATTACAATATTGATTTTCGTGATTCATGTTGATAATATTTTGGTCAAAATAAATATTATTTTATTAATATTTGTAATACTTTCATTGATATTCATTATAATAAATTACATGATTGATTTCTGTAATCCATGTTGATAATATTTTGGTCAAGATAATATTACACCATATTTTAAGTTCCAACCATAATATTAGTTTTTTTTTTCACAAATATTCACTTTTTATCTAAAAATATTTATAGAAAATCGTAACAGGTTAGGTAGAATTTTTTTTCCAAGTAATCACACAAAATTAAGATGGTGAATTAATCTTTGTCAATATATTTGTTTCTTAAGCTTTATTTTGTTAAATATAAAAAATAAATTGTTCTTCAAATTAATAGTATAATTTACCATTTAAGAGATAATAACCAGATATAATAAATAGTTTTACTAACGGTAAAAAATTAAAATTGAAACAAATTAACTATTGTTTAAAATTTATTTGTATATTATTGGCATCCATGATTATATTTTTTTTATTTTTTTTATTTATTTCTATAATTAAATACTTGTAAAATATATTTTCATTGATGAGTATGCTAAATAAACCATAAATCCTTATAATGCAAATTATAAAAATCGTGATCATAGAGGGGATCGAGTTTTTGGTATTTTCTGACTCAAAGTTGTTTAATTAG